ACTTCATATCCACCGATTTGATTTTTAAGGTATTTTTTTAACAAACTATTACATAAACTGGAAAAACAATAAAAAAAGTTTTTAACTTCATACTAAAAAACAGCTACTCTAAGCCGTAAAAAAAAGCACTTTACCACAAGACAGAAAGTATATTACTATATTAAAGTAACAAATTGAGATATTTCGCAACCCATTGATTAGATTTGTGCTACCATCTGAGTCTTCTTAATAAGAATAATTGAATGATATAAATTGGTTGAATTCGACCGTCATCTCAATATAATCCAATTCGTCATGATATTCATTTCATCATACAGTATGCCCTTATTATAATATAATCCATGATTGAATTTGAACAATTTTTATTTCACCATTTGATTCATATCAATACGAATGATCAAAAATCTACGACATATAGTTTGTACAAAAAATGACTTATATAAATAAATTAAATATTCCAAATAAATTACTATAAGCTCAGGAATATTACTAAAATAATATCGAGTATTATTTAATTTTATTCATATTCAACTACGTGAATATAAGGTAAAAGGTGTATTAGACACCATGCAAAGCTAATTTTTCGTTTTGCATAACCAGTCGACCGACCCAATTTTTTTTTTGGACCCAATTGTTTCAATTATTCTATTTTACTATTTATTTTTTCCATAAATTTATCTGGTATCACCCGATGGAGACCTTAATTTCCGATCTTACCGATAGAGAATTTCTGATTCCACGTTATGCAAAATGAAAAATTAACTTTGCATTACCTTGAACATGAATATGAGTCTATAAATTTACTGTAGATTAAAAAGAAATTAATAATAATTTGACCCGTCGACCGGAAAACCTTTTGAAACATCAGGTTCGACTGTCCCTTAAAAAAATACTAATCATATGTTTGTATCGACCAAAGAAATTGGTTCATATAATTACTTTGCGCAAAAAATTAAAATTCTCACACCAAAATATTGATAATTATTTTCGGGCTTCTCAACTAGAATTTCTATCCGTACTTAACTAGGATGGTAAAAAAACAGTTTAAAAATGTTTGTGTTTTTTTAACTGAAATAAAAAACCGATTAAAACATTGGCAGCTGAGTTTTGGATTTTGGATTGAAATAATTGTTTCTTATAGGTTAATTTCTGCACCGGAAAAGTTCCTTAATACGAAAAAAAATTTTAATTTATTAAATATCACATTTATTAAAATATTTATAATTTTAAAGATCTTAAAAATGTACAACAAATTAATTTTATAATCATATTGTATTGTCATAATTTTACGATAATAATGATTAGGTCAAGTGTTTAAAATGTATTAAAAACTATTTAAACCAACAATTGTGTTTTTAAAGATGGTTTAAATCATTTGGCATCCCTAAACTTAACTCGTCGTAATATGGTTGCTGTTATAGAAATAGTTTATTCATTTAATTTGCTCGTTTCAATTTCTCCAAAGTTCTAGAAAGTGATATCAACCGAAAGTTTAATTGTAAGCTGTCTAAAGAGTGATTAATTATTTAAATTGAAACATTACTATTTAAAATCAGATAAAATCAAAGGATAAAAAAGATACAGAGATGTATCCGAAATCTAGATAAAGTTCCAATTAAAGCTTTTTATAATCATCACAATGTCGTAGCTAGAATTTGTAGCAAAATAGATCGGCCAAATTTAAATTTTAATAAAGTTTCGATACGTATGCTTATTGTGATAAAGAAGGTAGTACGAGATACACAATAGTTTATGAGTTACAAGTCTCCATATTGCTGACTATAAAATAAACAATTTTTATGAAAAACATTTACAGCAAAATAATAAAGTTAATACTCCTTATTTACCTTGATGATAAGGAATAAATTTGCTCCCACAAAATGGCTTTGAATTTGTTTGCTCATTCTTGTTGTTAATAGTTTTCATTATTTCTTCAGATTTAGAAAAATTTAATAGGACCTCTTCGCTATTTTTCCATTCCGCAAAAAATTTGTAAATTTCTTCTATTAAGTCATTTTTCAGGTTCTTTCTCCCAACATTTTTGCATTAGGCTTATATAACATTGTGGCGCACCTTCACTAATAGTAAGTCATTGCTAGCATAGCGGGCTTTCGTTGTGATTGGCTTATTTTTGTAGATCGTTTCGTGATCTTCATGAATTTTTATTGGCTATTAAAATTAAAAGTTTGTGTAACAAGATTATTAATAGATTATCATTTAACATACGTAATTAATACGTAATTTAATTAATTTAATTAATACGTAAAATTTGTAAATCGATCCATATCATTAAGCAAAAATGTCTGCACAAGAACAAACCGAAGTTAGCTCTAATTTGGGACAAGGAAAAGGAAAAGAAAAAAGAAAAGCTCAATATTGTGATTTGGAGAGTTATGATGAAGTTGCCTGCAACTATGGCCTCTATGGTGCTTCGATCATAACTGATCAATTAACTATACCAACATCAAGCCAACATTTAGATCTAGTTGGCAAGGCTTTGTGTCAAAAACATTATAACAAATATATTGTAAATGCAAAAAAAAAAAAGAAAACTGAACTAACTAATTCATGCTTTCATCCCGAACATGAAATTTATTTAGGTACAGCTCAAAAAAATGCAGAAAGAATAAAATTTGGGTGGACGCCAGGCTGATTAATTAGTTTCTTTAATTTATCAAAAGAAGCAATGATGTGCCATCATTGCTTATATAAGACAGATATTGATCCAAAATATATTAATTCATCCAATTATCCTCTATCAAAGAAAAAGATTCCAAAAGAAAGCGTAAAATAATTTAAAGGTAGGTCATATCTTTTATATGGTAATGTTATTTACTCTGAATCAGAATTTCAGGAATTGGAAATTGCGTACTACAAAATATGTGCTGAACTCGATGAAGCAAAATTAGGTAAATCGACAATTTTTATTTGTAATTTTTTTTTTTTTTTTTAGCCCTTGCAGGACGTTGTATAATATTTTGTTCCAATTGTTCTCTTATATATTATTAAATTATTAGAGTTAATTCCTCTGGGCAAGAAAATTAAGCTAATAGCAGGAGTGTTATATATGAGGCAGCATGTATATAACGAAAAGCCTATTTTTGATCCTAACGAGTTCAAAAAAGTGCTTGAGAATTCTGAACCATCTTTAAAAGGTTTTTTTGATCAATTGGTAGCTGGAACAAACCCAAAAGCTAAGAGCCACATGACTAATGAAAAAAATAAAAAAAGATTAGTTTCATTTTGTTATTTTCTTGTGGGTCTTGATAACAAATTTATCAATGGCATTAAGGCCATAATAGGTCTTTTACTAGATACATCCAGTGCATCTTTATCAGTGATTGAGACCTTGGCTGGTGCAGGTCTAATGGTAAGATGTGAAACTATAGCGAAGCAAAAGGCCCGGTATGTGCAAATGCATACAGAGACAGTGAAGGCATTTTTAACAGAGAATATAAGTATATAAATTATATTAATTTTAATTTTTTTAATTTTTTATTATTTATTTTATTTTTTTATTTATTTTATTTTTTTTCTTGATTTTTTTAATTTTTTATTGTTTATTCTATTAATTGTATATTATTTTTTAACAGGTCGAAAATTTGGTTGTTTTAAACGTGGATGATTTTTATAACATTTACGAATCACGCCGTAGTGATACAACTATGACATATGACACCACCCACTTTATTATGATATTTTTAAAAGCATTACCAGAAATAATTTTAATTCCATTTAATAATCCCAATCAGGAAAAAAATATCCAAAATAAGACGGGTATTGAATCAAGCATTATTATTGAGAATGCAGACTTACTTTTTTTTCTAATTTATGGCTTAGCTATACAGGTCAAAAGAATGCATTTTCTGATTTATTCGTGCAAGAAACTCAATGATTAACAAGTCGAATGTCTCCTAATCCATAGTTACGACAATAGAATTGAACAATGCCGGGTAGATCGAAGCATGGAGAATACAAAGCTTGCCGATTTAAAAAAAGGATTTCTTCATTCAACTAAAAAATATGTAAATGCATTTAAGTCTTTAATAGACGTTTCTGAAGCAGAGGCTTATATAAGAATGCAAGTTTTTATAGCGCCTATGGATTACCCTGGACAACTTCATATACGGCATGCTATCACTCATCATATTAAATTAGGAGACTCTTCTGGAATTCTGGAGCAAATTTTGCATGTTGTTTCAATGATTGGACCCTTGCATGTATCCTTAAATAGTCGTAAAACTGTGTTTCTTTTAAATTATCATTTTTTTGATATTCTTTTTCATGCAGTTTTTGGACGTAATAAGGTGTTGGCAAAAAAGCCAAAGCCTTACAAAATTAATTTGATTTTAGAATTAGCAGGTCAAGGCTGATCCTGAGTTCGTTCTTTAATTATGAAGAAGTTTGAACATTCTAAGGATCCTGAAGCCTGATACCTTATTAATTTGTTGGATAATATTGTTCTATTGATTCTAGATTTCTATCCTGTCATATTTCGCAGTAGAAATTGGCGAGCATATCTAGAAGCAATATTTTGAGTTTGGACTGTTTTCTATTAATATCAACAGAGACATTATAATAAACTACCTTTAATGTTTTTAAGTGATATATTTTATTGGTTTAGTACTAATCACTCTATTTCACAAATTCTTACAGATTCAATTCACATCTTCAATGATTATTATATAGAAAATTTTCACAGTTCACTTCAGCAACAAATACATGAATCAAATTTAGCAAAGCAGGTCATTCAGGCAGCATGAATAGTTGATCAGATGCATGGCAACAATTCTTTTAAGAATGTGTTTGCTGAAAATCATAACATCAGATATTTAGCAAAACAGCTAGAATATTTTGAAAAATGTACAATTCTTTTTCTACTAAGATTTTTTACGAATGTTTACAGTAATCTTGGTGGGTCAAAAATTACTTCATCTGATGCACATTCGAGACTGAAAAAATATGAATTTCTGACACTGAAGGCCGAAGTCGACATGGATATTTTACCAATAGCTTGGAATACATCACACATTCCGCACGATGATAGCTCTTGTAATTTAGAAGGCTGTGCAGATTCTTCTGAGGTAGGTTGTGTTCTAATTTGTGGGTATGCTTATCATTTTGAATGTTTTTTATTTACATTAGGGAGCCGATGCCAGTACTGTATTGATTACCTCATAAATGGAATTGAAAAAAATTGTAAGGCTTTTCAAAAAACGCTAGAAGCATCTGGTGAAAAACCAAAAGCAGGAAGC